ATTTAACTCATTTTTTGCATCTGTCTTTACCCAAAGGGAAAAAACAGATCAACCTATCAAAAATAGTGCCATAAAAAACAGAATAGAAACACAAGTTAAGATAGGCAAGAAAATGGTAAGTGAGCACCTGTCCAGCCTAGACGAGTTCAAATTGCCAGGACCAGATGGATTACACCCCAGGTTTCTCAAGAAACTGGCAGATGTGATCTCGGAATCACTGAACTATATTTTTCAAAGATCCTAGAGCACAGGGGAACTACCAGAGGACTGGAAAAGAGCTGATGTAGTTCCCATCTTCAAAAAAAGAAAAAAAAAATGGACCCAGGAAATTACAGACCTATCAGCCTGACCTTAATACCTGGGAAGATCCTGGAAAAGATAATCAAACAATGAATCAGTGAACACCTAGAGGCAAACAAAGTCATTACTAAAAGCCAACATGGGTTTGTCAAAAATAGATCATGCCAGACAAATCTTATTGCATTCTTTGACTAAGTGACAAAATTAGTGGATCAGAGGAATGCTGTGGACATAATTTACTTGGACTTCAGTAAGGCATTTGATAAAGTAGATCACAACCTACTACTTAACAAGATAGAAAAATGTGGGGTAGAAAGCACTACCACCAGATGGATCCGTAGGTGGCTGACTGGCCGTATTCAGCATGTGGTCCTCAATGGAACCACATCTACATGGAGGGAAGTGTGTAGTGGGGTGCCTGAGGGCTCTGTTCTGGGCCCAGTGCTCTTCAACATCTTCATCAACAATCTGGATGAGGGGATAGATGGGGAACTCATCAAATTTGCAGATGACACCAAGCTGGCAGGAATAGCCAACACTCCAGAAGAGAGGCTTAAGATACAGAAGGATCTGGACAGACTTGAACATTGGGCGCTATCTAGATGACCTCCAAGATTCCTTCCAACTTTATTATTATTGTTATTGTTATTGCCAAGGTCCATTGATTAAACTATTACTATATGCTAATACTGATAATTGAAAGAGCCCAGGCAAGGCAAGACTGACTGATGGCTAAGCTGTTTTTTGATTGTCCCCAGTAACTATGATCTACTTAATCAGACATTGTTCACAAGGCTAGTATTCTGTGAATAGACATAGTGCATGTCTATAAATCACATTTTAGAAGCTACACAGGCTAGGTTGCAGTTACAGCCTAAATTGAAACTAACATACATACTATGCTTCAGAATGCTATATGAATGTAGTTATTGTACTACTATATTACTAGTGTTCAACCTGTGCCATCGAAACAGCTCTATGTGTAATATTGTGGTGGTGTTATGTTTGTCAGTATACCTTATAAAGACAAACTCAAGTGGTGAAAGTGAACTATAGTAGAGATTTAAAACACAAGAGGGAGCAATCTGCAAAGTCAAAGCAACCTTTATATTTATAGAAGCCAGTTTCTAAGTTTGCTCTCCCAATAAGTTTAGTTTCTAAGTTTAGAGCCCAGTAAGTTCTAAACACAGAATTTTAACTATTGCTTCGAAGAGAAGAAAGGAACTTTTAAAACAGATTTTTTTACCCTGCCTTTTTCTTTTCATATACAAGTCAAGGAAGAAAGCACGCCCATACTCTTTCCTCCTCATTTTTTGCCCACAACAGCAACCCTGTGAGGCAAGTTGGGCTGAGAGAGAGAGAGAGCAACTGGTCCAAAATCACCCAACTCATTTTTCATGCCTAAGCAGGACTATAACTCACAGTCGCTTGTTTCTGGGCCAACACCTTAACCTAAACTACCTCTCACATAATGGGGATGGAAAGAAATGGATGAAAGGAAACATTGCTTATGAGATGTCGGCTTATTTCAATGTATTAGATTGCATTTTAAGTTCCTTTGTGGAAATTCAACCTAGCTGAGTCCATGAAGTCTACAATGTTTGCTTTGCCAAGGTAATCTAAGTAGACTACATTAGTCATTTTGATACATAGAAAATACATGGTAGTTTCTTTTATGCTTGTTCTGGCTTGTGCCTTTCAGGATTAGCTAACTGATCTGCTCCCTGAAGTAGGATGACTTGCTTGTCTCTCCATGGTCAATGTGTACTCAGTGCCTCACTCTGGGAAAGGACTTGTCAAAATGGGGAATCAATGTAAGGAATAGAAAGAAGAAAAGCATATCCTTTGGCCACAGTGAAATAAAGATATAAAAACAATTTCCTGGTGCTGATACAAGGTCTGACTTGGTAATGTAATATCCAAGGGCAGGAGAAGTCCTATATATTCCAATTATGAGGAGCAAGAATATTATGTGGAAGATACACAAAGATAAAGATATTTAATATGCTCTAACCTGCACTAACTTGAATACATTATGCCCTTAGGAGAGACAGAAAGACATATTCCTAGTAATTGTAAATGAAAGATAGAATGTGCTCTTGTTTACCTCATTGATAAACAATTGATTATTAATACCTTTTTATGGAATTACAGTAAATATAGAAAAGAGGTGGTTATACAGGAACCTGAAATCACTACCTGTGTCCCTAACCATGTTCTACTGGTCTTTGAATTGCTCTGCTCATAGATGCTAATTGAGATCCTAATACAGAACTATAGCTAAGATGAAAACTGCAGGCCTCGCTCACTTGAGATATATGGATAAGTACCATATATGCCAGCGTACAAGGTGACTCGGTGTATAAGACGATCCCCATCTTTATCGCCAAGCTGCATTCCTAGAACGTCATCTTATACACCGGAAACTACCAGTATTTCCGGCGTATAAGACGACTCGGCATATAAGACGACCTCTGTCTTTGGCGCCGATTTCAGCGCTCGCGGAAGTCGCCTTATACGCTGGCATATACGGTAGCAGAAAAGGAAAACAAGGGCCAGCTGTGACAGAGAAAACACACAAGCCCAGGCAGAAACTAAAAGATGCCCTGGAAAATGAAAAGGTTAACAAGGGTGGGGAAAATGATCACCAGGTTACAAAAGAAGCAGTACTGCATAAGCAATATCTACATATTGTGCAAAAGAGACAATCAACATGCCAAAAGAGAACAAAAAGACCAAAACACCTGCCCAACAATCAACACCCAGATGAGCATAGATTAACTTCAAGATTAAGATTGGACCATCAATCAAGAAGCAAACAACACTCATGATGAAATCTTTTAAAAGAACTTCAAGGCAAAGATTTATTCCTCAAAGAACATTTTATTCAGAAAACAAAATATCAGCACTTACATAGTTGAATCCAAGACTAAAGTTCCCTCCCCCCCCATACAAAGTAACAAGTTGCAATTCCCACCCCAGAAAGGCTGTCATAAATCACATTCACCAATTATTCTAAAACTTGGGCTCTCCTCCCAACTTTTTAACTGGCCAAAACTTTATCTAACAGTGACCTTGATTCTCACCCAGCTGCAAATGTTATGGCTAATAGAAAACACTCAAGCACTCCTCCCTTCCCCCCTTCTACATCTGAGAATCCCAAATAACAGAAAAAAGCACAAGGAATGCAAAAGGTAAAATGGCTATAGTTTGTCAGTTGTCACAGCACTGACAATTCCATTCAGGAAACTGCCAATCAAGTTAACAGTAAGCAGCCCAACCAACTGCCCTTGGGGCAGTAGAATCACCACTCCCATTAACACTGAGAGGGCCAGCTGTTAGAATAAAAATCAAGAGCAAAACTTACTCCTTACTATCATAAAGGTGCTTTTTCAAAAGGCAACTGGACTTTTGGGATAACCATGACCTGGATGACTGAGAATCTTCATAGATTCTTACTCCTTACTACCCAGTTTCCCTGAAAGTAAGGCCTATCCCAAAAATAAGCCCTAGCTTGATTTTTGGGGGTGGGCCTAATATAAGCCCTACCCCCAAAATAAGCCCAAGTTTTCATGAGGCAAACATTTAAAAATCAAGCTAGGGTGGGAGTGGGGGTGTGTGGATCTGCTTCCCCCAAACCTCATTGCAGCGGGATCCCCCCTCCAAGGTATGTGTTTGTGAGGGTGCTTTCTCAGAGTGCAAATAGGGGCAGAGAGAAGCTATCTTTCACTTTAAGCACTGCGTCTTTAAGGGAATCTCTCTCTCGTTTGCACTTTTTCCTAAGACCATTGAGTTTTTTGCTTTGGTTTTGATGCTGCTCCAGGTGCCTCATGTTTTGGCAACTTCCTGCCTGCTTTTTGTGGTTTAATTTGGGGTGTGTGTGTGTTTTTACGCTCCTTCATGCAGCTCTCAAGTTTGCAAGCCAAGAGTGCTCCTACGAGGCTTGAAATGGGGGAGGGGGGAGGGAAGAAGCTACATTTCCCTTTAAGTACTGTGTCTCCAAGGGAATCCCTCTCTCATTTGCACCTTTTCCAAGGCTGCTGGGCTTGCGCAGTGCCGAGTTGGTTTGGTCTCTCTCTCTCTCTCTCTCTCTCTCTCTCTCTCTCTCTCTCTCTGAATGGTTTTTTCAGCACTTCCTCAATGTTTGTTTTGTTTTGCTGGAAGGCTGAGTTTAGGACTGTCCCTTTTCCTTCCCACTTTCTTAGAAGCAGGAAGTCACTGGTCTAATCTAATACAATGTAATAATAATAGAAATAAAGTGCATTATTTATTTGCTTATTTAGAAAATTTAGAATAAATATAATGCACTTAAATCATCCTGAAACCTCCCCCTGTCCCCCCCCCCCCCGTCCATGGAAAAATTACCTTCCTTGAAACCGCTCCCTTGTCCCAAAAAGATTGAGGAACTCTGCTGTACATTACAGTGCAATCTCTCAAGATGTTCCAAGCTATCTTCTCTTATTACTTCTATATGTTGTTTGTATTTATTTAAAATTAAATATATTTTAAGATATATTTGCCAAGCAACTCTTGGTGATTTACAAAGGAACATTAAATACAGATTAAATTTCAATAAAAAACAAAATGGACTGGAGAGAAAATGCACCTGTAACATACAACTGATCCAGATTCATACAAGAGCCTTGGGGGTGCAGTGGTTAGAATGCAGTATTACAGGCTAATTCTGTTGTAGAAATAAGAGACTGGAGCCAGCTCTTTGGGGAAGGGAAGGTTTATTGCTCAGGTTCAGAGAGCTAAACAAAGCAAAGGGTCTGAACCCCAAAAGCGGTTCTGTAAAACATATTTATACCCTTTAATACGTATATATTTCCTGATCACATAGTATTCCTTACATGGCTATTTTCTATACATCCTTGTCTCAACATATGGAAGAATACCAGACAGTTTTGACCAAACACGTGCTTATGTAAAAACAGGATATGGTCCAGACAGAGCAAGGCTAAATTGGTCAGCAGCTGCAAGACAGGAAACCTTCTGAAGACCCAGCAGTTTTAGAGCAACAGCATTTTTCCACTTTAATTCTGCCTACTGCCAGAGTTCAGCAGATTAATTCTCACCAGCTCAAGGTTGATTCAGCTTTCCATCCATCCGAGGTTGGTAAAATGAGGACCCAGATTTGTTGGGGGCAATATGCTGAGTCTGTAAATTGCTTAGAGAAGGCTGTAAAGCACTGTGAACTGATATATAAATCTAAGTGCTGTTGCTATTGCAATTCTAGCCTGGGGAAAGATACTAGTTTTCACAGCTTTCCTGTTAAGGTAACATGTTGTTCTACAGGGCAGGACAGCAACAGGGAAGTTAATAAGTTAAATCCATTTTAAATCCATTTCAATTTTTTAAATCTCTCATCTTTACCATTCTCAACACACTACTATTGTGTTACCAATGCAATATGCTTTTGGAAGCTAGGGAGAGTACAAAAATATATGACAGGTAACTGAAAACTGCCTTTGTGCTCTATTAGTAATGATTTTTTGGTTGCAACCTAAGAGATTTCTGCAGCTTGCAACTCGCATGAATTAATAATGCTCAGATGACATCACTTTTCTCCTTATCTTGACCCTTTTCTTCCCAGTGTCTCTTGCTTTCAAGAATACAGAAATTTGCAGCCATGAACATTTTATATTGTTTCACTGCTGTAATTTTTTTCTTCTTCCATGCTGCTCAGGGTGAGTGATGATTCAATAATATACTATACAAAGAACATCTTATTGTCATAAATATTTTGATGAGAATACTATAGTAATATTTAGCCCAATCACTAGTTTAAAAAGATCATAAGCTCTGCATGGATTTAAGCTTGGGAAAGCATTTTAGGAGATTGGCTCATATATTAGAGGTAAAGGAACAGTTGGAGAAATGTTCAGCTTGCATGTTTTATTGTATATACTTTTATGCTGACATATTTAATCATATTTCTATATGTAATATTTTCTATATATAAATTTTATTTGCTGTTAAACTAAGCCTTCCTTATGTAAAAACATCATACAAAAAAACCTTATAACCATATAATAGAAAGAAAAACACATATTTAAAAACTGTATTTCTATTTGCCTAGTTTGTAAAGATAATAGTATATCGATTCCAAGAACTTTCAGAGAACCTTCTCCATTGAATATTCTTTACTCTGGTATCCATCTGTCTCCCTGAAAAATTGGGCTTGGATTTTATTTTTGTAAGAAAAAATAGTCCGGTCAGATAGTTCCCCCATTACCAATTTCATTATCACATTTATCATATGCAAGGTTGGGAAGTCAAAGTAACACTATGGATTGAAAGAAATCCCAGGACTGTTAATAGCTAGTCACAACTACACTATATACATTTTTTGTCTGGCTGTTTCTCCCACAGTACTTTAGGTGAAAGCAAAATATGCTGGCCTCAGCCTTGCTGGCTTCAGAAAAGCTTGTATAACGTATCTTTTTAAGCCTGCTATTTTCTAAGGCTCTAGGCATTTATTTATTTGACAAATGTCTATATAGGTAGTTTCCAACCTATGACCACAATTAAGGCCAAAATGTCTCTTGTTAAGCAAAACAGTTGTTAAGTGAATTTGGCCTCATTTTACAACCTGTCTTGCCTTTCTTGGTAAGTGAATCATTGCAATCACAACCTTTTTTGTTAAGTGAATAATTGCAGTTGTTAAGTTAGTAACACGGTTGTTAAGTGAATCTGGCTTCCCCATTGACTTTGCTTCCCAGAAAATCTCAAAAGGTGATAACATGATCCCAGCACACTGTAGGCATTATAATTATGAGTCAATTATCAATTTTAATCATGTGGCCACAGGGATGCTGCAGTGGTTGTAAGCGTGGAAAATGGTTGTAAATCACTTTTTAGTGCCGTTGTAATTTCAAATGGTCACTAAATGAACCATTGTAAGTCAAGGACCACCTGTACTGCATGACTCCCAGCTCAACCATACAGCTCATGCCCTTTTGTGTTTACATGTATGATGTGCCATCTTGCCTATCTTGCCTAATGATTGAATTGTTTGTATAGTAGTAATGTTGAAAAGATAATGTGAAGAAAAGATTTCAAAGCTCTGATAAACATTTTACTTTTACAGAAGACCACTTTATAGAAGCCATTCTGCTTACTTGTGCATCAATGGGTGGATTCTGCATTCTACAACCCAATGAGACCTGTCCTTCAGGTATCCTCCTGGATGTGCCTTGTCATTTCAGAAGAAGGTGTTGTTCAAAGACTGATGCTTGACTCCCATCTTTACATGCTTATTGGATAATCAGCTTTCATCGCTTCCGCTAGTTAGCTGTACTTGATTTATCATGGTATTTCCTACTTGAGATAGGTAACTAAGTTTGATAATCAAGCCCCTCCACAATTTGGACACTTATTCAAAATTTATTTTGTGTATATGCTATGTCCCACTTTGCTATCATTATTGACAACTCCATATATTTTGCCAAGGCCACATTTATATCTCTAGGTCCCTCACTACTTATTTAAAGATCCATAATTCATTTGGATGGAATCCTAATGTGCAATGACAATAAAGAGAAAGAATAGGATTGCCTCAGTGAAAAATTGAAAGCACACAACTGTTTTCCAAATTAAGGAAATTAAATTGTCGGTGCTGAATTCTGAGGAAAATATAGGTTGAAAATCCTCTTAAAATGAGAAAAAGAAAAAAGGACATCTCTCTTGGAATCAGGAAAGAGCAAGTCCCCATTGGAAAAAAATCTGTCCATCGTTTCCTGATAATATTTTATTATTTCAATTTACTGATTTATTGACCCATGGAAGGAATTTCATTTGCCTTGTCAACTAGATTTAAATTAGTACCTCATGTTCAACTAAATGGGTTTGTAGAAAAATGTTGATTTTTTTCCCCAGAAGATGGTAATCTATAGATTTCACTGAAGTTGAGAGAGAAAATAATTCAGTTTTAGTCTTGAAAGTACAAATATGACATACCACCATCATCTTTGCTTTATTAAAACATTGGGAATATTTAACAGTCAGAATTTTAATTTGACCTAGTAGGTATATTTTATGAGAAATTTTAGAAATGCATAAACCAGATAGTGTTTATAGCATGTTAATGTAGTTTTACATATTTATATGGAATTATTTAATTATTTTCCTGCTAATATTAAAATAAAAATTGTCATGGGCAGCTGAAATCTTACAAAAGAAGATTCTGAGCATGATTTTGCTATTAGAGTTATTGTATAGTACACTCTGTTAAATTTCCTGTTTTTGGTATTGGGATGTAGATTGACCTCTTCCAATCAGTTGGCCATTGTGTCATTGTCTAGTTTTGGTGGCATGGTTTGGTTAGAAACTTTAGTGATTCTTCTTCTGTTGCTTGACATATTTCAGTATTCCATCAGTTCCTGTAGTTTCACAGTATGTTCTGAAATGTATAGAGGCATCATTTTGGTTGTTTGAAGAAATCATTGGAGAGGTTAAATTGATTTCCTGCTTTATTTCAGTTTCCTAAGTTATAAAATAAATTCCATTTTCCTCTTTAATGTTTTCAATTTTCACATTCCAGTTTCAATTACAGGCAACTCATCTTGCTTGCATGTTCTTCTGTTTCAAACTGAATTGAGCATAAAACTCATCAACCTCCTCTTCTTCTGCATTGATTGTTAGAGTACAAAGTTGAATGATCATTATAGTAAAGAGTTATCCACAAAGTCTCATTAATATTATTTAGTCATTGAATTGCACTGTAGCCAAGCACTGTTCTTGTTTTCAGTGTCCCAACTATAAAAACAACACCATTTTTCTTTGTTTTTCATATCCTAAGTAATAAACAGAGTGATCTTTTGATCAAAAGTGTCCAATTCCAGTTCATCTCAATTTCATGATACCTAAGATGTCTGAAGTCATTTCATCTTTCATTCTGTTGTACTTTACTTTGTTCATACTATTTACATTACATGTTCTCACTGGTATTCTCCTTTGCAGCTTCAGATTTTCTTTTCCTGTATGGCAGCATCAGCAACAAAAGCTTTAATCAAGCCACTAACAAACACTATTTACTACAAAAGATCATTAGATCTTTTGTCATGGTTCTGACACATGAAACTCTTCAAAGAACTTTGAGGCATTGTTTACCTTAAAGAATATTTATTCGAGTAGCATAGCTTTGGCATGTACATGTACATGTACTTCTGTAGCATGTTAAATACCGTCCTGTCTGGTACTATATCATTAATAATTTTATATTTTCTCTCCATGTGGTTTTCTTGGTAAGAAATACAGGATCGTCATTGATTATACAATATACAACATGATGTTTTTACTTAGCAGGAACTGAAAAATAATGTGGAAAAAAGTTAATTGTAATAAGCACAGTCATATTATTTATATAAAGCCAACAGAGTCTGATAATAACTTAAATAACAACATAGGTTAGGCATAAATAAAGCTGACAAAGACAAGATGGAAGCTGGTCGACCTGAGCACTTTTTTTTAAATAGCCACCACTATGGAAATAATGAAATACTGGTAACTGATATCATGGTTAATGAGAAAGGGAGGGAGAGAAGGAAGCAAGGAAGAAAGGAGGAAGAGGGAGGGAAGGGGGGTGGCAGGGAAGGAGAAAAAGAAAAAATGAAGAAGGAAGGAAAGGAAGGAAAGAAGGAAGGAAGGAAAAGAAGGAAGGAAGGAAAAAAGGAACGAAAGAAGGAAGGAAGGAAGGAAGGAAGGAAGGAAGGAAGGAAGGAAGGAAGGAAGGAAGGAATAATTTTCAATGGTCCCTGTCAGCTTCACCCAAAGAAATTCTTCAGTGGGGAAGCTGATAAAAGTCGCTCTGCTCCCACTGCTTTTTTGCATGACTGTGGTCATTCTGTTTCTCTCTCTTTAGGTAAGAAAATATCTCTGAAATGATGACACAACAGGTCACAGGTTATCTAGTGTTATAATTATTACCCTGAATATGTATATACAATACTAATCAGAACTAAGGAAGAAAAATATTTTTTTTTAATTTGAGCTAAACCAGCCTACCTGAATTGTAATAAGCACACTGGTTTATTTTGGTGCCTCAGTTTCATCATAAAATATTTGTGAAGTTGTTGTTTTAGGTAAAAAACTTTCAGCTGGTGTAGTTGCATATTCACACTCTGGAAGCCACCATATTCTGTACATTAGAAAAGGAATAAATTATTTCAAGTAGAAATCTATTTTATAGGTATGGAGCAGTGGTTCTCAACCTTCCTAATGCCGCGACCCTTTAATACAGTTCCTCATGTTGTGGTGGCCCCCAACCATAAAATTATTTTCATTGCTACTTCATAACTGTAATTTTGCTACTGTTATGAATCGTAATGTAAATATCTGATATGCAGGATGTATTTTTCATTGTTACAAATTATACTGTTATAATTTCAGTATAATAGTTATACTGAAGATCTGTGTTTACAGTAGCTGAAGCAGATTGGATTAAAACTGAATAGCTGCATTTGTGCAATTTATGAAGCTTGATTACTTTAAACTTGATATCAATGTTGCTTTTTTTGTGTGCAGTCTTAGTAAATTATGGAAATATAGCCCCTTTATTCTTCTAGTATTATGTGATTCAGAAAATGGGTCATTTCAGCTGGTCCAGTTAGTCCAGTGGTAGGCAACCTTGGCTCTTTTATGACTTGTGGACTTCAACTCCCAGAATTCCTGAGCCAGCCATGCTGAGGGGAAAGGGAGAGGTTTCCAAACTGAGCCATGCTGGCTCAGGAATTCTGGGAGTTGAAGTCCACGAGTCATAAAAGAGCCAAGGTTGCTTACCCCTGAGCTAGTCAGTGGTTCCTCTTCTTTTCTCCCCCCAGCTCCCCACCCCAGCTCAGTCAGCAGCTCAGTTCTGGAGCTGTGCCTGCCAGAATCTTAGTAGAGATTTTTGGAAGGAGGTCTTGTCCACTGAGGTAGAGGCAGCAGAAGAGAAATCCATTTCTTCCTCCCACCCCACTGCTGGTTCCACTGAGCAATAATCAACTGCTTTTGGTGCAGCAGATAGGGCAGGAAGAATGGGGGGCATTACTGCAGCAACTACAAGAAAAGGCCCCATGGAGCTTCTTGATTCCACACTAGGAGCAGATTCATTTTGTCCTCCCCCCCCCCCGGCTTTCCAGAAGCACACTAGGAAACAGAAAAAAGGCAGGCAGGAGGGGAAAGGGAAACACATGCTGCAGACCAAAACATCCACCCAAAGCAGCTTTCATCTCCAAAGCCCCCCCCTTTGATCTCTTCCTTTTTAACTGCCTGGACCAGTTTTCCTTCTCCCACCTGTAATGAAATGGCGCTCCCTTCCCCTGCATCCCACAAGTAGGAAGCCATCAAGGGGGGGGAGGAGGAGGGATTGAGCAGCAATCAATAATAATAATAATAATAATAATAATAATAATAATAATAAACTTTATTGTCATTGTATGTGTATACACAGTGTACACATACAACGAAATTTATGTGACACCCAAAGACCAGATCCCACACACATAATCCCCAAACACACACCTACTCACCCCTAAAACCACCCAAGTAGTTTTGTGATGTACAAAAAGTACATGCTGTCTTACAGAGGGTAGGTGGGGGAACAGTGGGCAGGAGAATCGGTGGCAGGAGGGGAAGGGCTGTTCTGTGGGGCTGCCTCTCACCTCTTCAGGCAAAGACTACTGGAGCTGCGGCTGCTTTGGCTGCCCACCAGACGGGCGGTCTCAGAAGGGACGCAAACTCCTCCCCCTGAAGGAAGTCCTCTGCTTCCCCCCAGACTTGCCATTCCCATCTAGGCAGGTGATTCCCACTGAGCCCACCAGAACTAGTGATCGGGGCAGCAGAGGAAGTTTCTGACTCCGGTTAGCACCACTCGGTGCCTTCCTGCACCCAGGAAGCATTCGGACTAAGCCAACCTTCCGTGGTTTATGGGGCAAAGCCAAGGAATATCATGCCGACTCCTCCGCAGAATACAAAGAGAGACCAGCTCGGCTGTAAAAAGGCTTCCCTGGAAAAAACGCTCCTGTTTGATTCAGCTGAAGGACATCCGGGACTGCATGGAGAACCTTTAAATCCATTCCCCGATCCCGAGGTGGATGCAGCCGTCGAGATGCAAAAGAACACCGCCGCGTATCTTAGACTAAGTTCCTAAGACCATCGGAAATATGTGTTTTCCGATGGTCTTAGGCGACCTCTGTGAAAGGGTCGTTCGACCCCCAAAGGGGTCGCGACCCACAGGTTGAGAACTGTTGGTATAGAGGATTAGGTCAAGGTAAAGATAAAGGGGTGCCTGTGGATTTTACTCCACTAGTCATTGCTGACTATAGGGGGCGATGCTCATCTCTGTTTCAAAGCCATTGAGACAGCATTGTCCGAAGACATTTCTATGGTCATGTGGCCAGCATGACCACATGGAGCTCTGTTACCTTCCCACCAAAGTGGTACTTATTTATCTACTCGGAGTTGTATGCTTTTGAACTGCTAGGTTGGCATTTTTTAAAATTGCCATGAAATAAAGGGGAAAATAAAATGTTAAGGATTCTGCAATGGATGCCTTTGAAGACTTTTTTTTAAACAGCTTGGAGCTCTTTGATCTGAATACTATACATGCTATCATATATCTTTGCTACAATAGCATATAGCCTACAAACAGAAAATTACAAGGATGATGTCTTGTACCTTACATAATTTTATAGGGTAGAACAAGTAATATTTCAATATGCCCATTAATCTGATAGACAGTGATCTATCATGTCCCATGTAGCTGGAAAGACTAAAGAAGCAGGAAAAGTACAAATTTCAGTGGTATGTCTTTAATACCAGTCTTGAGTAAATCCAGTATGTAGACAATTAATAGCAATTTTCCAGTTGTATTATAGTTATTAAATTAATATAGATATTTTGTATTACTATATATTCAGTATTGATGTCTGAATTGAACAACCATAATGTAAATGCAAAATACCAAATAACAATTTTGAACTGATCCAAAAGACCTGTATTCTGTACCCTGGGAAAACTGACTTACTTGGTACAGCACTGATTCACAGTGTCCGTAGTAAGCAAAACAGTCAGGACAGGGAAGGTCTTTTGGGTAACAGAAACCTTTAAGACGCTGTTGACATTCAAATTGGCCTCCAGCAAGATCTATATGAAAAAATAAATATATATATTTAAAAATCCTTTGTGCATTAT